TCAAAATTTTTTCCTCTTTTTTTTCATTATTTTTTCATGCCAAATCCAGTGATTTTCGTGACCTCAAAACTTATCCCAAATTTTTATGTATTTTAGGCTAGAAAGATAAAATTTAAACAAAAGATGACGTTCTATAGGTAGTCCACCCGGGCCTTAAACGTATATTTACAGTGAAGCAATTTATTTACATCAATTCCTTGAGCACTCATTCCATGAATCACTGATAAACTGAAGTAACTCGAATTTTAAACTTTCGTAACATCGATTAGTTCTAAAATTATTGATTTTACATCATTGTTAATTATGGGAATCAGTCACTCGTGCATGGAATCAATGGTGAAGACGACTGTTCCCGCCTTGTCGTTATCCTCTTCGTCGTGGACCTCGTGTTCCTCATCACTTTCAGTGTCTGAAGAGTCACTCTCTCGAGTTCGTGATCGATAAGCACTTGAATTTGGTATTCCCCCGACTGGATAAATCCCCAGATGCTGGGTCAGGCGTTCAATCGCGTGTCTCGCCTGCACTTCCTGCAATTCAATATTATTTCCTCCTAAAGTGGACAGTTCTTTAAAAGAATTTCTATCTAGTAGATTATTGAAACGATAAATCTCTATTCTTATCTCGCTAGTCTTCGGTAATTATTTCGTTAAAAAATTGGAGTTCTTTTGAGCGGAAATACGAATTTACCCTGAGTTTCTCCGCCTGTTCTTTTTGTAATTTAAGAGATTCATTTAAGCTGAGACCTTTTACAGCCCCGTGAACAATGAGAGGTGGAGTAGCTGCTGTCACCTCCCAGTGTTTATCCTTTTTACGTACTCTCTCCTTCATGGGATCATGGACGTTGGTTTTTGTGGTCTTGTAGGGCTTGAAGTGCTCCTTCTGATTACTCTCGTCCTTCTCGACTTTATCCACAATGTATTTTACATGCTGGAGGGCATCCAGGCCCTCTGCACTGAAGGACTGGATATCCTGGAGGTCCTGCTCGTTTATCAGAGTCTCTTCTGGAGGGAGAATGATTATTTTCTTCTTATGAACTCCTGTTCCTGTTGGCTGCAACATAAAAATCATTCCTCAATATTCAAAATTAAACTCTAGTTCCAAAATATTAGAGTCATCTAGAAATCTTTTCTATTTAATTTTAAAAAATCCTTCGGTATTTTCATTATTTCATGGATACCTAGTTAATCTTCATAATTAAATTATACCTGAGCAAGAATTTTAAGTGGATCTTCCTCATCATCCGAGTCCAGTTCGACAATTTTTCCAGAGGAATTTTTCTCGCAGAATTTTCCAGTCCATTCTAATTCATTCATGGCATCTTTTCCCTCAGAAGCGATATTCAACCTCGATAATAAATTCGCTGCTTGCTCAAGGTCATTCCTGCGATTGATTTCCTGCAGTAATTTCGCCCGGAATCTTGTGATTTTCTCGCCTTTGTCCGGCAATCTCGAGATGAAGGACCTGGATTAATCAATCATCAGTAAATCAGAAGACAATTGAACGTGGAATATTCACTTGTTAGCGAGGAGTTTATCCTGTCTCTCCAGAAGATCCCTGACTTCGATATTCGTTTTGCTCTCCAGGTCGTCGACGAACCCCTGGCCCTCCCTCCTCGACACTGGAACTTCTCCAGGTATTTTTTTTATTATTTTATCCAACGACATTTCTCTCACATGTCATCCTATCCTACTGCTCCAGAAATCGAGGAATCTGTCGAGCAAAAATTTTCACCCTCTCACTATTTCCAATATCAATGACATTAACCACAAATTCAATAAATTCAATAAACATGTGATTGTTTATTGCCATAAAACCGAGTAAAAAATTCAAAATCAAAGGCTGAAATAAATAAAAGAAAAAGACATGAGCTTTACACTTAATAAATAAATAGAATCGAAAGTAATAATGCAATAAACAATAAATAATCAATTAATCTCAATTATTCGTCAACTCAACTGGAAATTCACCTAGTGCAGACGAGTGCAGAATCCCAGGCAAATGCATCAGTTTTTTTTTCCAAGATGACAGTTAGGTTTGACCTGCCCCCTACAAACACATGAGACACAACGAGACAACACGAGACAATACGAGACAGTGGCTCGAGGGTCAAAAAAAAATTCACAACGAGAGGTAAAAAAAAATTTACTATCGACAATTCAGGCGGGCAATAACAGACAATTGTGGACGTGAATGCAGAAGTGTTTGACGTATCGGCGTTGAAATAGGGGGAAAAAAGTAATCGATTATCATTCAGTTACAGACTTAACCCGTCAATCAGAAGTTATCAGAATAATGGCTGGTACTGCTGACTCGTGTCCCAGGGCAGATCTCATTTGATCTGGAACGTAGAGATTTTCTCCAGTGATTATTCGCTAGAACATTAGATTTCAAATGGAAATGATCCAAGGATTTTCGTGAAGAGATGTGATGACAGCAGTTGACAGGAGATTGAAGATATTTTGAGATGAATTGCAATGGAACTACGGGATTCTCTGGGGAAAACAAATCTGGAGGATCCATGGACAATAGGTCCATCATTACGTGTGAGTTTTTCATTTTTTTAGGGATTTTTGGGGATTTAGTCACGTCTTGTCGGACTCACGCCCCCGGAACTGTCAATCTACAGATGAGACTCAATTACTCGAATTACATCTGTTACTGGTTATTTGAACGTTTAAGAAATGTTTTACCTGTTTTTATTTCATTTATATATTTTTTGGTGTTTTTTAACTGAAATTCAGAGTTTTCCGGTATTTTCTTTTTTTTTTTTCTAACGTTGCGAATTTTTGTGGAAAATATTACAATCATTTTTAAACAGCTCTTGATTGTTTTTTGGGAAATCATAGACTGAAGAATTTCTACTCGAAAGAGAAATAAAGCTTTCGGTATTCTAGAGAGTTTTCTCATTCAGTTCATTGATAAAAATATCTCGTCCATGTGTTATCAGTCTACCAACAACTGCATATTCTTTCCGGAAATTACGAACTGTTCTGAAATCCCCCGCGACTAAATAAACAATACTCAAATGCAAATTTTAATTTTCTGACGAACTGATGAAGTTAGAAATTAATTTTTCCCTTAATTATCGATTTATCTCGAAAGCTATCAATCTAAGACGAAAAACCTACGAGACATTTTCCTAGTTTATCGAATTTCCGACAAAAAATGTCTGTTGACGTTTTCTCCTAGAATCAATAGTTTTCGAGAGAAATCAATTTTTAACACAAAAAAAATCGACTTTATCACTTCATTTCACTATTATTCAATATTTGAATTTCTATGAAAAAATTATTTATATTTTCCAGATGCGGGAGATGAAGCGTTGTTTTCAACGATAAAGAACAATCTCCTGCAGGCAATACCCCTAGACATCGTGGAATGGCGAAGATCCTTCGGACGTCCCTTAAAAAAAATAAAACTCAACGCATCATTCGTGCAATTCTCCCGGGATGTTCTGCCCTCGGAGAAAGACTGGCACCTGATAAAACATCCGATACTCCACATTTACTGGAGTGAATGCTCAGACTTGGACATGTACAAACTAAATATCAAGGATGACATCGACAGTTGGTTGAAGACCCTGAGCCAATTCGGAATCCAGGACTGGATGATAGTAATCGTCGAGACGTACGACATAAAAAAAACCAACAAACTAATCCCCAGGACAACAGTCCTAGATAAAATTCGCAGTGATTTCGCCTCAAAGCACGGCGACAGATGCCTGTCAGTGATAAACCCGATAAAATCGGAGTCCCGTTCCGCCGAGTCCTGGAGGGGTCTTCTATCAAGAATTCGCCACCTTACGCTAACCGCGTACGACAAAACACTTTCAAAATTCGAGGAGACGATTCGAGAGCAACGAGAGCGTCGAAACGAGTTGTCCTGGAATTTCTGTCGATATTTCCTCCTGCAGGAGGAGCTGGCCTTCGTCCTGGAGATGCTGGGGATATATGACGAGGCACTGGTGCAGTACGACGAGTTGGACGCCCTTTTTACCCAATTCGTCTTGAACTCCGACGTGGGGGAGACTCCAGCCTGGCTGGGGACCTTCCAGAGTCCTCTCAACAGCTGGGCAGGAGTTAAACTCGATAATTCAGTAGATCACCTGAGGACTCTCATCGCTGAATGCACGTCCTCCCTCCTGGACCTGAGGAGCTACCTCTTCTCCAGGCAGTGCGCCCTTTTGCTGCTGCTGGATAGACCCTGGGAGGCAGCACAGAGGTGTTTATCCTTCGTTTACAATACTCTCAGTGAACTCAAAATCCTCGAGGTCCAGAGGCCCAGAGGATCTGTCGAATGCTGGGCATTTCTCTGTGCCCTGGAGGTTCTTCAGACGTGTCAGTCGCGAGTATCAAATGGGGATAATGGACAGCAGGTTGATCTGTGCTCTCTTCATACAGCTGGACTGTGGGCTCTTGCCAGTGACAAGCTGGGGGAACTTGGGAGAATATGTGGACTCATGCCTGGGAGTGAACCAACCAGCCAGCAACTGCACACTGTTGTTTATCTAATTGCTGGAATGGGAGACTCCTGTGATCAGGGAAAGGGAAAGATTTCCCCAATTGACAGACTGAAAGGGGCTCTCTCATCCAAGGAGGTGTTCAGGAGGCAGTATCTGGAGCACACCGAACTTGCCATGGGCACATACAAGCATGTGGGCCGGATACGATCAGCAAGATTCATAGGAAAAGAGCTAGCAAAATTCTACGGTGACCTCGGGGAGAACCAGAAAGCAGTGGCATTTCTCCTGGACGCCCTCAACACATACGTGGACGAAAGGTGGGATGATCTGGCAGCTCAGACTCGACTGGAGCTAGCTCAGTGCTACAAGCAAATGGACGACACCGAGAGATACATAAAGATCTGCAGTGCAATAGCGAGTTCCGAAGTCCTTCACATCACAGTCCGTAGTTCCTACTTTGAAGAGATGATGGGATACATGAAGATGCTGTCGTGCCCACTGCTCACTGAGCTAGAGGACACCTTCACAATTCTCGAGCTGAACGTCAAGGTCTCAGACAAAGTTGTCCAGGATTGCATAGTGAGCATTGATGTGACAATGACATCTCGATTACCGAGAGCAGTCGATTGTACGAGGGCCCTGATATCCACAGAAGAAGTGAAGAAACCCCCTGGTGCACCGAAAAAAAAGGGAAAGCCTCCAGAGAAGATTCCCCTGGTCTCCAAATGGACTATCGACTCCCTGAAACCCAGGAATCACCTGCTGATGCCCCTTCGAGTCCACTCATACCTCGACCACAACGAGAACAAGACACTGACAACAGCTGGTGTAATCGACAAGAGTTTTGCTCCAATTGTCACCAGATCTGATAGCTCCAAGCACAGGAAACCATCAGTGGACACCAGAGGGGATTTCAGTAAAGCCCTCACCTGCGAGAGGTTCGTCCTGACACCGGGAAAGAACCAATTCACTGTCACCAAGAGGGACGACCAGCCAGGGATCTATAGGATAAACCAACTGGCATTGATTGTCGAGGAGAAAATAGAATACAGATCAGGTGTCATTAATCCCAGGTTGTGCTACGAGGTAGCCAAAACTCAGCCCAACATTTCAGTTAACAGTAGAGACCTAGTGGCAGGTCTTCCCCAGGACATTGAGCTAGTCATATCCAGTGGAAGTGTCAGGATCGAGGAGGGGGACAGGCTGAAGCTCTGGACATCCCGCGGACTCGTCTTAAAAATTGCTGACGGTGAGAAAACCATGGGGTCGGAGCTCGAGGTGAAATCCCCAGGGTGTGAGCCCTTCGGAGTTGTCAGGCTTAAGCTCAAGGTCTTTGCTGATTTACCACCAAAGAAAGACTCTTCGTCTATGGAACATAAATTGAATATTCAGGCACCCTGGGGGGTTGAGGAGACGATTTCCCTTCATTTTGGGCCACCTCTCATGTCCTCAATGCATCTGCACACTGCCAAGGAGAGGAAATTCGTTCAGATTGTCGTGGTTGGACTCACTGGACAGCTTCTCCAGCTCAGAGAACCTGAACTCATCACCAGCAGTTCTGTTGATGTGGCTTTTAAGAGTCTCAATCCAGTGGCTGGGCAGAGTCTCGTTATTGGGAATGGAGTGAGGGTATCGTTCATGTGGGAGATGGAACTGGGGAAGGATGACAGGAGGAGCACTGGAGCTATCAAGGTCGATTTCAGGGTTAAGTACTCTCTGGTGGAGGAGACCAGGAATGAGGTCGACGATGACCCTCTGGAGATTAAGAAACTCGAGAGGAAACTGGCGGTTTACTTGTACAGGTGCAATTTCGATGTCGTCGATTATGCGGTAAGTTTCAGAGAAAAATCCAATTCTGTAAATCAATGGTGTTATTTATTTTTATATGGAATGAATATTTGCAGACAATGTTCATGGTGTCGTCGAAAGTGGAGGCCAGTGGAACAGGAGGTGAATTTTGTCGTGCTGGTAGCATGTGTCACCTGTGTTTAACTGTTGTTCGAGTTTTATCCACGACTAATACCACCCCTCCACCCCAATTAATGTATGAAGTTCTGGCTGATCAGTCAATGTGGGCTGTTTGTGGTCGTACTGCAGGAATTGTCACTCTAGATACTCAGGACAAACAGAGTGTTATACTCGACGTTATGCCATTGACAAGTGGGTATCTGCCACTTCCTGTCGTACGATTGTCACGGTACATTCCAGCAATTGAGACTAAAAATGGTCAGTTTCATCAATCACATTTTACTCGAAGCATTTCAGAATCACGTGGAGAAAATATTCAAGAAATTCTGATGATTTATTGTTGGGAATATTTAATTAAATGGGAAAAAAATAATAATAGTTACTTTTTGTGTGCAATAAAATGTAAAAGTCATTCTCATGAAGTTCCAACAAAAATTTCATAGAATTTATAATATTTTTGATTTTTTTTGCCACACGTGAAAGAAGAGGGAGAACCGAGGATTTTTTATTTTTGGATTGTTTCTGTTTGATACAGATATCTCGAGGAAGTCTGAGGTCTCCACGGGCCCCAGACTGGAGCCATTTAGTCCAGGTCAGGTTTATAATGCCAGCAAGGCCCAGCAGGTGCACGTCTTGCCGGCAGCTCCTGCAGAATCCACCTGATCATCGAAAAAACCGCCGAATCTGCATAATTCCCACTAGTTTTATTTATTTTTTCCTAATTTCTGTTTCTCCTGCGGTGAAAAATCGTGCCATCAGAGGTCTGATGGACCAATTCACGTATAAAAAAATTGAATAGGAAATTTTCTGGGGGATAATTTCCTCATTTCAAATTTTCTGATTTATGTCATTCCATTTTTTGTCCTTTCATCAACAAAATCACGCAAATAATTCTGGAAAATTTGAGCTGAAGAAATTTCGTGAAAGATATCTCAATAGAATAATTAGTATTTAAAAAATTGGATTCTATTGACTTTTTTATGGAATATTTTCTATATATTCTTGAGCATTTTGGTTATTTCAGAGAAAAACTAATAGAAAATCCAATGGAATTCTAGCATTATTATTTAATAAATAGTCGTACTTTTCCTGTAAAATTTTTTTACACGTGGAAATCTGAACTTAGTCATCCCAACGAATAAAAACCGCGTACTTTCCTCATGACAGGGCTTCCACGAGCCTCAATCCATGTACATACGAAAAAAAATACTCGATAGGTTTACGATAATCAGCAGGACCTGTAAATCATAATCACCAAGTCTCAAACCGAGGTGTGAAATAATTTCGTTTATGTCTGTAAATTCATTGGAGAGGAGTGTATCGTGTTCGAAACAAAATGCCTTGTAAATATTTATACATAGAGTGAGGTATTCCAAAAAAAAATGAGTACTAACTGATTCGCAATTTAATAAAAGTGGTAATAGGTATATCATACGAGCGACATTTAATTTCCAATTATTATTTATTTACAACCGCAACAGCAATCTGAACTCATAATTCTTTAAATTGTTGTTATCCCAAATCGTGGCAGAAATCAGCTGTTCATGTTTATTTTATTATACAGAAGGAATCGAAGATTTTGGAGCTGAAGTTTATTTATAAAAAATTATAATTGTTGTGTTAATAAATTGGCATTGGTTGCTGTGTAAGAAGCAGTCCAAATCGCCGCTTCAAAGTGATTCTTTCCCTAGAATACTTGTCCTCAGGTGAAAATCGAGCTGAAATCGAAGGATTGGAATGAAAAAAATAATGATTCACAATAATTTTCGTCTGCTCTAGATAATTTATCTTTTTATACTACTCATTCCATTTGATGATCCCCTCCAATTAATTATGTTACATTTCTTGGATTTTTGGATTTTTGGAAAAATGGATTTTTTTTTATAAATTCAAATGAAAATGTTGTTAAAAAATACAAAATTACCTGGATGTGCTGACAGCGTGGGTTTTCCATTGGGATCGACTTTCTGGAAAAATCAACGGGAAATTAGTGGTGCATAACCCCGAAAAAATTATCACTGCATAATGAGAATTGAGTAATTATTTACCTTCAGGGTGTACACACGCTCGCCTTTTTCATTTAAATAATACATGAGATACATTTTCCTGTGTTTATTTTCCGTTGAACTCCTGATTTTACTTTTGGAAATTTTCACGTGTGCAATGTTTGGGAAATTGGGAGTATTTTCATGGCTCGACAGAATATCGGCGCCATCTCCCAGAAGTCCTAAATAAAAAACGAATCATATGTACATTTTCTCCTCTCCCAATATATAAAATGGCAGATGAGTGCCAACGGTTATTAGACAGGCAGTAACCGATAATAATATTAAAAAAAACAGTGTCCAGGTGATAATAAAAAACCTCAAAATCAAAACTTTCGACGATTGTTTATCGCTGTTGATTATTATCAGCGGTTTGTAACTTGAAATGACACAATGTCAGTGAATTTTCGGGAAACGTAGACGTCATTTTTTTTATTGGTAAACAATTATTTCAGGTGATTTTTTTATACTAAAAGAACTTGAAAATTCTCGTCACTCCGGATTGTTAAGATAATCTCAGCATTTGGTCCAGGTGATTTTTTTTTTTTATTAAAAATACTTTGGAGAATTTGTTCATGGGATTGGAATTTTTATTGCAATCTGTCGCTTGGTTTTTTTAGTAATAGGGGATTGTTCTAGATGTTGAAAATTTAAACGACGAAATGGCACCCAGGAGGGCTGAGGATTTGCCGATTAAAAGAATTGCAGCACCAGGATGTCGTCTCCCAACTCGTCTACCTCTCGACGAAATATTGACTGATATTACACAGAAAGACTGGAGACTTGGACCGCGTCTCGGTTGCGGAGGTTTCGGAGACATTTATCTTGGTAATTTGGTTTTTTTTTTCCTTCGGCTTCCAACTCTGATGATGCAAAGAGATTATTTAAATGCATCAAAAAAATTGCAGGGATTAAGGCAATGAGAAAGAAATTTCTGGGAATTTCCAACTCAAGTTTACGATTCACGTTTCAGAGAAATTCTAGACAATTCTTGAATATTGAGTCGATTTTCTAAGGCTTGTTTGGGTAAAGAAGATAATTTGAATTGTTGAACATCTCAGGGGAATTAAAGAAAGGGGAAATAAAAATCCGGGACTAAGTGAATTCTGTTTTTTACTCAGTTGTTCTGAATTTCCCTGGAATGATCCCTAAAACCGACGGAAATCCTTTTGTTGCAGCGTCAGAAGAAATTCACAAAGCTGTGGGACAAGATGCCAAATACGTAATAAAGATTGAGCCCCACCACAACGGACCACTCTTCGTAGAGATGAACTTCTACATCAGAGCAGCCCGTCAGCACATGATAAAAAAATGGTGCGATAGCCAGAGCCTCTCAAGAATAGGAATTCCGAGTTACGAAGGCTCAGGATCCCACATTTACAAAGGGGAACGTTTTCGTTTCCTGGTGATACCACGTTACGGTATCGACGTGGGTCAATTATTTCAGAATTACGGTAGAAAACTCCCGACAAAATTGGTGAACAACTTGGCAGGTCAGATGCTGGACGCCCTGGAGTACATCCACAGTCACGGATACGCCCACTCAGACGTAAAAAGTTCGAATATAATTCTGGAGGATGTGCCGACGATCTCAGAGAATCCCCGAGCCTATTTGGTAGACTATGGACTGGCCTATCGTTTTCGAACGACAGCTGGTGCTCACAAGCCATTCGTTCACGACGAAAGGAGGGCCCACGAGGGAACTCTCGAATTCACCTCCAGAGATGCCCATCATGGCACTCACTCCAGACGAGGGGACATGGAGACTCTGGGGTACAATATCCTCCAGTGGCTCTGCGGTAGACTCCCCTGGGAGAGGGAGCAGGGAGGAATGTCACCCACTAGCAATCCTGACGACATTCACAGCCAGAAGGAACTCTTTCTATCGGACATTACAAATTTCATGAAAGTCTGCTTTCCAGATCGAAAAAAACCACCTGCTGCTATCACTGCCTATATGAAGTACATCGCAACTCTGGATTTCGAGGCTAAACCCAATTACTCTTACCTCAGGAGTTTATTTACACCCAGGGGTAAAGCCGAGAGGGAGGGGCTGGCGTCGAGCCTTGGAAAGAGACTTGTGGCTGATGAGAATATCAGTTATCTCAGGCCCAAGAAGATGCCCTACTTGAGGGAGAGGAGACCCTGCAAACCTGTCAACTGCGAGGGGAGAATAACGAGGAATCATCAGGCACTTGTGGAGACTGAAAAATTTAGCTGGGAAGAGGTACTTGCCCGGCATCCTGATAAACTTGCTAAAATCAGTGTTGTACAGACCAATGGGGACGATGTTATCCACAGCTTAACTCCTCCACCATCACCTCCACCACCTTCTTTGCCCACTTATGCCATGCTGCATGTGCTGCAGAGGATGAAAGACAGGCAGACAGGGACTTATAGGCACAAATCTAAATTTAATGAGTAAGATTTTATTTTCTTTCAATTATTCAATGAAAAAGGGATTTTAGAAAAACAAAAGTCGGAGTAAAAGTAAAAAAACGAGTTGACCTCCAAAATTCAAGTAATTATTGTATTTTTTGGCATATGCTGTCCAAACAATATTTAAATTATATTTTAAAGGTCAATAATTATCAATAGTACAAAATAATAACAATAATAATAATAATTTTTGTACTACTGATAGTATTGAGAGTACAAAAATTGCTGTGAGGTCACCCTTCAGGTGAAAATTTGTTTATCGAAGGTAAACATGCTGGAGAGTTTATTTTTTGTCTCCCACGCCCATTAATCCTAAAATTATTTACTCAACAGAGAGCTAAAGGCTAAATGGATGACACCGGCCATGGAGGAGGTTGCGCAATTGAAGAAGAAAGTTCAATCGGTAATTTCAATGACAGAGAAGCCAATTTCTCCAAGAATCACGCGTTCTCGCGTGGCTAGATTGAATCGTAAGTAGTGGAAGAATTAAATTTCCTCAACAACTTCCAACAACAATAGGAAATAAACCCGAACAAAAAAATCGGCCTTGAATCTTCTCAATGAACTTACTCCGCAAATGGCATCGCACGTATTGGTAAAATTCAATAGAAAAACCCAATGCTTTCTCTATTAATTCTGTAAAATACTATTAAAGTTCAAATTCTGAATTTTAAGGTGTTGCCATAGAAATTCTGTCATGAAAGTTGTTGTAATAAGGAAAAATTGGGGAGGAAATAAAAAAAGTAAAATAAAAATCCATTGACCATTCCCTATGCAATTCCAATAGAATTTAATCCGAATTTTTTGAGAGAGCATTGGTTTTTTTTTGGATATCTCCATACGTGAGAATATTGTATTACTTAGTATTTTTACTATTAGTGAATTTATAGTCGATTCCAGTCAGGTATCTCTCTTTTTTGACGAGTATGCTGTAAGAAATCATTCGAATTAATCCTCATTACGTGAACATTGAGTCTCGCCAATTCTATAAGACTGCATTATTTTCACTGAGTTTTTATCGGCGGTAATTCAGGAAAATGTGAAACGATAAATCGCCCTTCATCATTTTCTATAAAATATTTGAGCAATTCAGTAGTGAAGATCATAACTAGGTCACATTTAGAAGTAAGAATAAACTGAGATTGTGGTAATAACTTTTTTTCTAAATAAACAGAGAAAAAGCTAATGATCTCTATTTCATTGACACATCCTATCCCTTCACTACTGAATCTATCAATCTTCCATCGTTATTCCAGACAAGCACAAGACCATCGATATTGCATTGATAATGTTTAGATACACCTTTAATTATATCAGTCTAGTAATCAGTGTAATGCTGATTTTATTGTGATTTGTACATCTCTTGACGTGAATTAAGCTAATCATTGGGGTAGATTATTTTTTTATTGCCAGTTTTTTTTTCAGTCACAATTTTTTTTTGTTATCGAATAAATTTTTATGTTGTATTTGTCAAATGTATATGATTTTTATAATGAATTAATTTTTTTCTCTGCATTCTCTGCATCGAGCTCAGCGGCTCCAGCGGATTGTACATCTTTTGAATTAATTGATCAAGTGAATTTCCACGAAGAGTATAAATGATTTTGTGATTTCCCCGTTAAAGATTTCTTCCAGCGTATGGAGATGAAACGGATGCAGATGGCTTTTGTCTAGTGTCGTTTACGCAGCGTTAATGTATCGATATCTACGTGTAGAAAAATATTAAAGCGAAACTCGTTAATCATGAATTCTGTAATATTCGTATTATTAAGTATGTCATTGTCATGTATGTAAATATATAGGCACCATGTATTGGAATGGGATTATTGCGTTATTCATTTGTCCCTTCGTCAATCCCTTCATTTATTTTCGTTCCTAGGACCTTTTTTTTCCTATACGCGAATTATATTAATTGATTAGTAAATAAATAATGAAGTCAGAAATTAATAATATCAAGTCGGTTTACGACTGCCAAAAATTACGTATCTTTCGTAATATTTTTTTTTTTTTCAATTGGGAGCGTAATTTAGGCATTTAGGGTAGAGTGCAGATGATGGTGTGACGACAGTCGGTGGGGAGTCGGTGGAGAGTCGGTGGGGAGTCGGCGAGTGGTCAGTCGGTGGCGTGCGCTCACCCAGAAGACACGAAATTAAACGCTCCCTAAAAATATTGGGTTATACCTCTCGAATTTCCGTGAATGTATATAAATAGCTGATGCAAAGCCCTCATTTGTCCCCCATAAGGCCGGAATTTGCCAAAGAGCCGGATTTACACCAGTGTAATGAACCAACCGATTACTTAACAAACGAGTTTGTGGATAAAATTGAATTGAGGGGTACATACAATGGATAGTGAAGTGACTGGAGCCAGTGCTGACTCGGATGGATCCGTTAGTTGGGAGGATTTTTTCGGTGAGACTATTCCCATCGATTTATCACAATTCATTTATTATTTGTCCCTGGAAACATGAGAAAATGAGCGCACAAACCGGTCCAAGGGTCTCATCCACCAGAGCACAACTCATTTCAAACTGGAAAGTGTTGTAAAAACATTTGAAAAAAAATATATATTCTGCCGGATGCGGTGGCTAGTCTTCGTACCCATCTCTTGCACACACATGACTATTATATGCGGGTCTTGCAGCATCTTGCTGAATTTTTGTTTTACTCATTATTCGAATTATTGATATTAATATTTAATGTGCAACTGGCTATTGTCCCAGGGCCTCCAGCTAGTTACATGCGATTGTTTTTAATACGAATTTGTGTGCTCGATATACGCACGTATATTTATAGAAATATATGTCGGTAAATATATGAATGAAATTTATACTAGATAAATATTGGAAATTCCAATATTTGGGATTTGTCTTCTGGACACATGGGGATTAGATCCCATTGCTGAACATTGCAATATTTTGATTTTGGGAATTATATATATTTTGTCAATATTTTTTTGAAGATAATTCACATTCTCAAATGAAAAAATTGAATGAACTAGTCCAATTTATTTATGGAAAAACCGATTATATATATATATATATAAGTATATGGGATCTGCACTGAAGGGAAATGGACGCGAATAAAAACTAAATAAAGTTCAACTGATTATTCAAATGATCGAAATAATTATTTATTATTTAAAGGAAATTTGTGTCCATATTTCTTTAGTCCCGATTATCTTTAGATTTGGAAATCGATGTCTGCAGAGTATCGAAAAGAAAAAACTAGGGGAAATGGTCGATTACTCGCTGATATGATATCTACTTTTTTTTTGAGGATAATCGTTATCTGTTATCGTGAGATTCTCTGATGGAATTTAATGGCTCGGCTCAGGGCTTCACGCCTTTTAACTGACATCTTTCTGTTTCCCTTTACGACTCAGAATAATTTGTCTGGCGCCGGAGTTCAATCGCCTGTTAATACTTTCCGGATTTGAAAATCCATAAAAAAATCGGTTGGATTGAATTTTCAATTTAATTACAAATAAATTCCACGAAATAATTAAACTGAAATAGACAATTCCCATAGCTCGTTGTTATAGAAATTCCCAGTTCCAGTCGAGAAAGAGCAAAAAAAATGCTCCGTAAATCCCTGGAATCGAAATACGACAAAAATTTCCAAGAATACCACCGGAAATATCTGGTGAAAATATTCAACAGCACATCCCACCTCCAAAAATTCCCCCCCAACTATTAAAAAAAGTCGAGAGATAACCGAAGGCTCGTATCAATCGCCCTGTTTATTTGAAAACCGGAAGTTACAACCAGGTGGCTACAACTCGAAATAAATAGGGTGGGGTCGATGGATCTGAGCAGCATCATCGATAAGAAGATGTACTACAATTTCATTGAGACCACATGTTCAGTCAGTGTATCAAATATAGCGTCATGAATCTCAAAGATGTCTTTATTCCAAGCCAATGGTTCTCACTTCAGCTCAGAGAATCCGTAGAAATACATTTCAATCGTGCCATTTGAATTTTTTCATAAAATCAATTGATTCATTTATTTCCTTGTATTTATTGTTCTCATTGAATTAATTAACAATCGTAAAATCGGAAAATCCGGATGGATTATCAATTTCAAATTCAAAATATTTTAAGTATTTTGGGAATTTTCAATTTAATAAATGAATAAATTAAATTAAATGGTAATAATTAATTAATAATAATGAATAATTTGGTTTAGAATTAGAAATTTCGATGAGTATTGAAACAATTGATTGATTAATTCGAAAATGGAATTCTCCGGAAAATATAATTATGAGAAATCCCAAGTGTTTTCACTCGAAATTTTAAACGTAATTTTCCAATAATAAACTAGAACTCGAGAGGCTGTTCCCTGGCTAATGAAAATGCTAAAGCATTGGATCCAGTGGACGAACAAGGGATACGGTATACAACAGTGCGTGGGAAGTATTTGAGATGAAGAGGAGGCGGAATTAAAATATCTCGGGATGTAGCGACATAAATCACAATCATCAGAATTATCGGCTCCACCGAACCCCATGGACTTCAGCCATTAAAATTATTCTGCAATTATTTGGACAAAAAAAAGATAAAAACTTCATGGGCAATTAATTACTGTATCAATTTATCAAAATTAATACAGCCAAATTATTCATTTCTCAGGAATTCTACACATAATTCATTAATTCGTCCATTTTCTCTCACTTCTTGTTTACGGGAGTAATTTTCCAAATTTTTGCTAAATAAACAGAATAATTTCATTTTCTTCCATGAGCTTGTGGAGATTGAATACAAAATTAGATTATTCAATTAAATAACTTCCTTCAATTAATCATTCAATTGCAAATGAATGATAAATTTTGATTGAATTTAACAAACAAATAAGTTGTGCAAATTAAATTTTCATTGTTAAAACGATTTTTTACAGATAAAATTCTCCTGAAAAATTGGGAATATTTAGGAGAACCTTGAGAATTGAGATGATATTAGTAGATATTGATGGATATTAGTAGAAACAGGAAAATTGAAGTTTAATTGTTTATAAATGGTGAATTGATGGGAAATGATGATTTTTTTAGTCTGAATGTGGAATGGTAGCTGACAAAACTGGCGCCAAGAAACTTCTCAAGTCGAATGCTCTCTCTTCTGTCTCGGATATCCGACGCCGTATTCCTTTTTCAACCATCACATGTGGCTGTATTATATCTTCATATGTACATATTTGAGAGGATAAAGTATGTATTAGTGTTCCGCCTCGCAGTTTCTCGTCCAATGGCTCGTATCAATTATCAAAAGACTCCTTTCCGTTCTGCCATTCCCTTCAATTTCCTCGAGACTATTTGACCCGCTTTAAGTCCCGGATAACTTATCGAATAATCCATATATTTTTAAATCCCCGCTCAGATTAATCATTTATTAATAATGGAAGTTATATGATTGATCGAAATCGCTCGTCGACTTGAGAGGCGCTACAATTATTTCTACTATTTATTTATTCACTGCTTGTTTGTACTTTTTGGAAATTATACTTGAAATTTCAAAAACAAAAAATTGACGAGAAAGTTAAAGTAAAGAAGTCGAGGAATTCGATAAAATTGAAATATTCAAGTACTCCTTTCTCAATTTTCAATGTATTAATAATTGAATTATGTTTGATATTAAATTTTTCAGGATTAGAAAGGTCAAGATTTAATTGACATATTAATTGAATTTTTGAATAATTAAGAATTTGCAAGATTTTGTTTGTCGATGAGGAAAATGTTCGGATTAATAATTTAATACTGAATTTGATGGAAATGATTGACCCGCATTTTTCCTGGATTCCCAGCAAATTGATTTCCTGATCAATGATGATTTCCTCGTCATAATAAAATAAGTCTTTTCCGGGTACATAGACAGAAGAGATAAACCTCGAATCGCTTTATCCACCAATTACGTAAAATTAAGATATTTATTCAATGACTCTTTGAAATTGTTTGCGTAGTTGTGAAAATTATTGATTTTTATTCGATGAAATCGTTAGAAATCACGGAACTCATGGGAATTAGTAAACAAATTGATTCCATTTATTGATTGATTGATTGAATGTTGAGAAACTTAAAAAAAAAATTACTTCCAGCTTTCATTCTCTTGAAATAAAATTTATTTTTCATTTAAAATCCGGAATTCCGCGATTACGTGATGACACAATAGATAAAAATAGACGAAAATAGACTATTCAGATTTTGAAAAGAAAAGAATAAATCATGAATTTCCATTCTCTTAAATCATTGACAATCACTAATTAGGTGATTACGTGACCACGCGATAGTGGAATTCCTGCGGATGAAAATCATTTGGGAAAGAATTCCACTGGAAAATAATAACGAATTCCAAAATTCCGCAATTACAAAATAGACATATTCCTTCGTAAAACGAAAATCAAACCTGGAAAAATCTTCTAATTTCCAGGAGAATTTTCCAAGAGCAATATGACACATTGCATGTAAAAAATAAAATAATTTTCTCAGCATTGTCCATTGTGATTCATCATGCAACAAATCTAATGATTCGGTCTCCCACATCGTCGTCATTACCCCCCACCAAATCACTTGTTCCAAATAGAAGTATCACGACTTTAATTCCATCTATTCCACCGATAATCAAGTGACGACTCATTGGTGGTTATCCACGAAGAGGGGGAAATAACTGGAAACTAACACCGAGCAATATCAACAATTTCCCATGAATTCATTTCAGTAGTCTACCTGTTGCTGCAAGTGAAATCATCTCCAAAGTGCTCAACAAACTTTCAATAATTCCAGCTGTTTTGACAGTTACTCCCATCGCGATGTTATCAGTGGTTGCATTATCATCAGTGGAATGCTAACGGTTTTTGAAATGGAATTTATTTGGTCCAGACGTTGTGTCAGAGTTTAAAGTGACAGGTAAAATAAAGAGCGCACGTGGGATGTGGAAAGTATCAATGGAAATGAACATCAGAGGTTCGATTCAATTGGGCCCCCGGGTTGTTTTTACTTGTTATGCTGGGCCTTGTGGGGCAATTTTTGTGCTGCATTGGGAATGATGCCTTTTTTTTTAAATTCAATGACGGTGAAAATACCATGTGGCCACGCCACTGGCCGACCCTAAGGCGCCCGTCACGTTCGTGATTCATCCGTTGGAACGCCAATGCCTTTCTGTTCATTTATGCTCCTTTCAGTGCCCCAGCAATCTTCATGGCTTGAGCTTTTTCCAAATGGAATTCTTTACAGTCATTTCCATTCTACTGAATTCCGTAATCATGTAATCACGGTGTACGTGATTATCGGTGATTTATTATTGTCGCTCTGCCAATCGAATTCTCTCAATAATCATTTCCCTTTTTGGGAATTCCAGAATCACGTGATCGCGGGATTAGTGATTGTCAATGATTTGAGATCATGGGATTACGTCATTTTTTATTGTTTGCTTTCACGTGGAATTCTTTGCAATAATCTTCATTTTTTGTTTTCTCAATTACGTAATCGCGGAATTCGTGATTTTCAATGAGCTAAGAGAATGGAAGCCAATGATTTCTACTTTTCAAGGATTTTCGATCAATGAAAATCAATAATTTTCCGTTATAAACAAAAAGGAGACCAAATTAATTCTGCGTAACCGTTTCAAGGCGGTTAATTGATAGAAAAATTATAACTGAAATTATAACTATAACTTTCAACTTGTTTCCCCTTTGGAAATCGCGTGATTCGTATGATTTCCACGTGATTACGCCCAGCTGTAAAGCGTTTGTTTAGTCTGACTTGTTGTTACGAGGGGGAGGAATTAATTTGATGTTTAATTGGGGAATTGAGAGGTTTTGCGGGCGGTGGGAAAGACTGGAAATGTGAGACTGCAGTCGAGTGTGTGGAGATCATTAACTTCAAGGGCTTGACTTATAGCTGAATGAAATCTATTGGTATGTGGCACTTGGAGTGCCAGGGGCTCGTGCCAGTCAATGGACAAAGACATTCTTTTTTTGGGGGAATGTCTCTCACCATTCGCTCATGTTTTATTTTTCCGATGAAGGCGCGTGTGAAAATCTTTAATGAGATTTTCAATGGAATTCTATCGTTTCTCGATTCAAATCCATTTTTCAAATTTTTAATCCATCCTAATTTAATTTCAATCGAAACAATTTGTTATTCTTTCATTATTTAAAAAAAATTGTTACTATTCTACTGCAACTTGTCATTTGGTATCGTACATTCTGAATTATTAAATGTTGAATGAACATTTTGATTTTTTTTCGTTGACAGTATGGAATTAATAAAATAAATAAATAATTTTCTATAAACATGGGTATTGGGCATTCTTCAAAGATTTGAACAGAACGCGTCTTAATACTCACCACCGCTTTCTAGTGAATAATTTGTTTTCTTAGTCCATAATAATAATAATTATAACCCAATTTCCGGCTCTCGACGTAGAGTGGCCCTAGATACCTCGACTCAACCTAAAATACGATGTTATTTTCGACAAAACCATCCTGGCCTGCACCATTCAACACTCACCTCACCCCAAAATACAAATTATTTATCAAAACAATAACAAATGTTTTATAATTATCGGATACATTACCATTTCAACTACATAAAAAAACTCTCACCTCACAACCGCACATGAATAAATACTAAATAATAATAATTAATCACCAATTAATCACCAATTAATCACCAATTAATCACATAATTATCATTCATTACTAATAAAAATATATCCATATATTTAAACAATTATTTAATCTTCAATTCGAATTTTCTGTAGTTGTATATCCAAACGAATCTAATAATAAATAATTCAATGTTCATTAATAAATTAATAATGACAATACTAAAACGAATGAATTAATTGATTAAAATCAAAAATTAAAATTAAAAAAATTTGAGACACGTGAATTTCGTTGAGTCACGTGGCTAGGACGTACCTGATGATGATGAATCCTGATTCACCGAAATTATCGAAATCCCTTTTCTCGGAATACGAAGACTGGGGAACATTAATGTATATATAGAACGAAGAAAGAAGTTAGAAAGAGGCAGGAGCTATTGCATGCCCCTGGGTTCAACGCCTCCCGTGGTCTGTGGCATACGTTAAACCCGTGCAGCTTTCGTTCCATGTGTGAGTCGTTTTGCTGTGGCACCGACGTGCTGCAGGAGTACCAGTTGTTACCGAGAAATTGATCGCGTTTCATTGCACTCTGCCCTTTACTGGGATCATAGTAAGTCTTGCCAGTGGGGACTATTTATCCAGGCTAAAATGACGGATTATTTTACGTGAAGAAACTAGTAGGAGATATTGTTTTCAGGGGTTCATCCTGGGGATCACTTCTCGATTCACTACGAATCTTTGGAGAATTTGGAGAAATTTTCGATCTAATTTTTTCATTTTCCTCAATTTTTCCACTCATTCAATTTTCCATCATAATTCTGAACCCCTGAAAATTGGAGACTAGTTCCTGGAAATGAAATCCATCACCCCGAGTAAACTTGAATGATAAGAGTGCATGAGAATTTTTAATCTTGTTTTAATTTTCTTTCGGTTTTATCTGAAATGTATTGAACAAAATTATTTGATTGTTGAAGGTACATCAACAGATCTGGTGCCCCAGCTCCTGGGGGTATTCGACGAGTTGGCACGTAAGGATCACGTTAATAATCACGGCGATCAGATACCAGCAGCAATCCAGAAGCGTCTGAGTCTGGTTGCTGCACATTCACAGCGTAATACCATATTCGGTCAGATCTGTGGTGCTGGCTACACGGAAAACCATTCGACGATGAAAGAGACAGAAACACCAAAAGTAACTGTTAACCATGAGGACGAGAGGAAAGAGAGTACCAAGGGATGCGTTAATGCAACTGGCGATAAATATAATAATGATAGATTGACCCCCGAACATGCATTGTCCGTACGACAGAAGAAACATCTGGGGAGGCCACTTTCTGGGAGTTCCATTGCCTCCAGTACGTCTTCCAGTGGTGGTAGCAATCAGGAAAATAATGTTTCCGCTAATCCGTATTTGGCCTCCGTCGAGTCACTGGCTGATGCTTGTGCCAGTTCACAAGGTCATTTCAACTTTTTCATTTGAAGAGTTTTTTGACTGAATCTTCTGAGAAACTATTGATTTATTTCTTTCAACAATACGTCCTCCATTCTTCACTTTCAATTCTTTATTAACATTCTATGCCATAAAATATGTTACTATTCAGAATCAATTCAGAAGAATCAGCGAATTAATTAATTGAACACATAAATAAATAATAAATATGCGGTATTAATTTGTATTGCAGTATCCGGAGATAGTGGAGTAGGAGGAGGTTCATCAGAGGAGACACTAGACCCCCTAAACCGTAGAAAGCCGAATGTCCAGGACTCATCAACCGTGGAGAGAGTTCTCCTGGAGATCGTGGACACCGAGGCTATTTACGTTGAACACCTGTGCCAAGTAATCCAGGGATATCTGATAGTCTGGAGAGACGATCCCAATTCTCTCCTCACTGACTTCGAGTTGACACACCTCTTCAACAACATCGAGGACATCTTCAACTTCAACAATCAATTCCTGAAGGAGATAAAAGACTGCCAGTTGGAGCCAATTCTAGTAGCCAACACCTTCATAAAGCACAATCTGGGATTCAAAGTGTACACTGAATACTGTACGAAATATCCACGTGCTGTTTCCATCCTGACGGAGTTGATGGGTCGTGAGGAGACAGCAAAGGCATTCAGGGAGAGACAGGAGGCCCTGGGACACGCCTTGCCCCTCGGTTCCTTCCTCCTAAAACCTGTCCAGAGGATTCTCAAGTATCATCTCCTTCTGGAGAATTTATCCAAGGAGCTCGAGGCAGATGAGACCTGGAGGAACTCCAATCGGGGCAAAAGCACCATCGAGGAGGCTCTCAAGGCCATGACTGGTATCGCTGAGCACATCAATGCTATGAAGAGAAAGCACGAGCATGCAGTCAGGGTTCAGGAGATTCAATCACTGCTTTATGGGTGGAGTGGGCCTGATCTCACCACAAATGGGGAGCTCATTGCCGAGGGGAGATTCAGAATGCGAGGGGCCAAGGCACCTAGACATGCTTTTCTCTTTGAACGAATGCTACTGCTCACTAAGAAAAAAGAGGATGGATTGCTCGTTTATAAAGCTCATATCATGTGCTCCAATCTCATGCTCATCGAGAGCATTCCTGGTGAACCCTCCAGCTTCCACGTCATTCCTTTTGATAATCCCAGGTTGCAGTACACTTTGCAGGTGAAAATATTTTTCTCTCGCGAGAATCTTTATTTAGAAAATATTTGATACATTAGTTAGGGTATTCAATTATTTTGTCATTAAAAACTTGACGTGACAAACTGAAAATATTGATAGATTAGAGTCTAGATGAATTGATTAATTGATTAATTCATTAATTGATCAAGTAATTTTTTTGTTTTCGTAGGCACGAAATTTGGAGCACAAGAGGGAATGGACACTTCAGATAAAACGAGTGATGCTGGAGAACTACAACGCAGTGATTCCAATTCACGCTCGTCAATTGGTCCTGCAGCTGGGGCAGTCCCAGCAGGACGAAGAGTCGAGTACCGAGAAAATATCGATGAAGAAACTGTATTCATCACCCCCAGAGTACCTGGAGCGAAGAAAGCAGGAGAAAGATCGAAGAAGATCAGAGGCAGGACTGAGACCAAAAGCGAAGAAAATCCCTGCGAAATTCGATGGCAACGAGAATTCCTCGTTCTCCCTCTCGTCGGTTTCGTCCTCCTCCTCGACGACCTCTTCCTCATCCTCTCAGAGAGATCAGAGTCTGAACAGATCCCTGGACGGACGAGCCTCTAGGGTCAAGGAGAAATTGACAAACTGGAGGCGAAAATCCGAACCAGGATTCCAGTCGTACGTGTCATTCAATCACTCCGATGATGACCAGGACAAGGTGACCATTAACGAAGAGTCCAACAATAATCAGAATAATCTCCCAACGAGCCCTGAGACTCCTGAGAACCCAGGGAGTTCCCCAATCCCTGAAGATCGACGAGAGGAGAACCTGAAGAATAATTTTACCAACAAAGACGTGAACATCGAGCCTCAGACAGTAGAGCAGATCGTCGGTCACATTCTCATGCAGAACGAGGAGTTTCAGAAACTCCTGGAGAAGCAGAGGAATAATAGCATGACGAATGTGAGACAACAGCAACGATTCCACAAGGAGCAGACCTCCAGCATCCCCATGGACACGTCAGAGGAAAGTGACAACTGCTGTGAGAATTACACCACTCCCTCCATAAACAACAGAATAACTCGATTAAGCAGAATTACAGGAGTAACTCGAGAGAGGAGAGAGTACAGATCGGTTCGTTCCAACAATAACTCCTGGAACGCCACCTCCCAGAGATATCAATCAGATAAAATTACTGGTTCTCACCTGCGACTGCAGTACAATAATTTCAAACCAGATAACGATCAAAGAACCCATGACAAGACGTTCAAACGTCAAAGCATTTTAACTGAGAGTAAAATAATAAAAACCGCCCTGAGGATGAACGACGAGTCCAAGGAGGAAATCAAGGTTGAGAGTCCCACACGTCCCTCCGTCTGGTTGACAAAACTCTGCGAGGATCTGCCAACGTCACCTCAGAAGTCGGGATCACTTCCTCGAAGCTTTCAGATTAATTCAGACAATTATCCCCAGGAGAAGATAACCAAGTCGAGATTTCTCCAGAGGGATGGAAAACCACTGAACGAGAGGCCCTTCACTATCGCCTCGGACAAACCCGAGGAGATCACCCTCGAGGACATGGAGAGATACTCGTATCAGTCTGAAGAGCAGATCAATAAATTATCGAATTCAGAATTAAACTCAGCCTCGACGTTCTTCTGCTCTCTGGAGGACAATTCAACAGTAGACTCAGACTCCGACAGGATACATCCGGATCACAAGATCTACAGGAACACCGTTGGCAGTACAATGCTCAAGAATGTTCTGTCGAAAGCTGGTAGTCGACTCCAGGGGCTGCGACTGACCCTCAGCACAGAGACACTCGAATCCAGTGATTCCCTGGGGGATGGAAAGCCCAGGACTCACAAGGGTAAGAAGAGGAGTAAATCGAAACTCTTAAGGATGTCCAGGGAGTCCTCGACGGACGTCGACGAGCCCTCGTCTGGGTGTGTCCCTGGAATTACCTCTGGTGAAGTTAAAAGTCATTCCCTGTATTATGAGCAGGGGAGTGAGGGCCTGGGGGCAAGGATTGCCCAAGCAGATTATGCCGATCCCTCTGTCCTCTTTGGGTCGTACTTCGAGGGGAAAATGCTGGGAAAGCCAGTCAAGAGTGATGTCCTTGATGACAAATCCTCTGGGGACGAGGACGAGGTGGAGGCTGACACGAAGGAGTCTGACTGCTTTTATGAAAAATCCTTCGAGACTATTGAGGATTATCACACGTTGGTTCACAATGAGGGGAGGGACGACGCCTTCAGGGACAGTGCAATATTTAGTGATAATGAGAGCACCTCGGGGAAGGGGGAACCTCTGGGAGAGACCAGGAAGATTCCACCACCTGTACCTGTCAAGAGCTGGCAGGTGTCAAGTGGAATTGGGGCAAAGCCCACTATTGCTGCTAAACCTGATAATTTGAAATTCAGGAATAGGCAGTTTAAGGCTGTCAGGGTCGCCCTGGTATCTGCCAGCGATCTGAGGGGTGAAGGGGATATTTCAGCTGGACAGAGTCAGGCTGGATGGGTGAGGAAAATGGTTGGACAGCTCCAGGCTCAGATCGAAACGTAACATTTTTATTGCCATTCAGTACAATTGTATTATTTCGGGGAGAGTAATCCCTTCAGGAAGCTCTCACGATTTTCAAGGATCTCTGATGTCTTTTCAAATTATTTTTAGCTCTTAAGGTTTTTTTTATTCTCAAATACGCGTTTTTTTTTAAATAATGATTCGAGATCAAAAACGAGGAATGAAATCAAAAGGCATTGGGGGGTTTATCGGACTCTAGATCGAAAATTATCGACTATAGGAGGGAAATCGATAGGACTTGATTTGTAGCTGATTAAAATTCAGAGAAAAAGTTCTTTTGAGGTTTTCTCGTAGGATCAATGGTTTTTGAAATTAATTGAGGATTTGTGAAGTTGGGATGCGTGAGTTTAGAGTGTGGATGAATCAGGAGTTCTTGGATGTCCTCTGGGCGTTGATAAGGTCAATTATTATCTTGATAATTCCGCAGTAGATGTGTAAGGTGATATTGTACGCAACTGTGTGACAATGGATTCTAGTATTTTAGATAACAAAATTTTTGGAGACTTACTCGCAATGAAAGAGACGATAATTGATATTGTTGTTTTATTGGGAGAATTGTTTCCTATTTACAATATAATTTTTGCTAGTCGTTTATACATAATACAATGATTGTAAATAACTGACAAATAAACAGTTCAATACTGTCATTTAATTTTTCTACTATTACGAATCGGAGATTTACGGTTTTGAATCTACACTGATTTAAAAATCTCTGACGAGTTGAATACAAAAAAAATCAATTCAACGATCGTATTTTTCTAGTTTCTAGATTCTTATTGTGTTTTATGCTGCGGATTTCATCGTTAACTTTGTCTTCAACTAGTACGAATTCAGAAGATAAATCTGGCGTTTTCTATCGAAATTCTTTTGAATTTTTGTTAGGACATTAGAAATCCTTGTTATTCTAAATTAAAAAATTTTTCACTTGCGTTTTATTTATGTTTTATTTTAAAATTATAATCGAGTTCTAATAGAAATACGAAGAATTCTTCAAGAAAACGCCAGTTTTTAATTAAAATCCATCTTGACCATTTTCCCTGAAAATCTCAAAATCTAAGCGAGATATCGAAATTATTGTAATAACTTTTTTATCAAGTTGATTAAGATCTAGAAAAAAGGTTTCAAACAAAATTTCCTGATCTCCGTTAGTTTCCCAGATATTCACTAAAAATGTCAAGATTCATGTCGATTTGTATTGGTCTACAGAATTTCGCCACTGAATATTTTCGATGCGCAATCATTTGTACGTCGAAGCGAATGTTATATCTTGATTAAAAAATATAATTTGAAAAAGATAAAGAAAAGGAAACAAAAAGAATGTGCAATAACTGCGTAATAAGTCTTTCGTAAATACTATTTCCCTTTTAATTCTACAGAATTGCCCAATTTCCTATTAGGTACATTGAGTTTTCCATTACGATTTCGATAAACTTGACACTTTACATTGTTCCTCCGTGTTTTTGATAAATAAACAAACTGATTTCTATGAAAATAATGCATACAGCTTCCTGTACACCATTTCGTTACGTGTCTCTGTTTATATTAATCGTCTCATTTTTTTTCTCACATACTCTCGTTAAACTAGACTCGTACATTGCGACAAGCTACGATATATAGGGCAGGTACAATTTTTGCTGGAGGATTCACAAAGAAAGAATGTCATTGACAAAGCAATTTGGGGCACATTCGTGGTGCATCGAAGCTCACAACAGCTGAGAGAAATAAATAATAAAAGGCAAGTGAGTAATTACAGGATATCTAAACGTTAATAAATTATTAAAAGCTAATTGAATCCCCAATAACGAATTAAAATGCAGACAAGTTCCACTAAATTCTATTTATCTTTCTGTCGGGCTTTAATTAGTGAAATTATTGTCTCGGAATTTTTTTGAGAATTAAAAAAATGAAGATTAATTGAAATTCTTATCAAAGATCATTTGTAATGGGTCGAGTGCTCGTTGGAAGAAAGGAGATAGATCGAGGGAAGACGCCATCGAGGGGATCTCTTACATCTAGTAATCGTTCGTTATTTCCGAATTATAAAATACGATAAACAATTCAGTAGGGAAGAGGGAGTGGAATAACAACTAATTGATTTAGTGAGTTCTTGAGTTTTCGAGGGATATCTCCGAATCCAAGAGAAATAGCGATATTTTTGTGAGAACCTTTTTCCCAGCTCTCGTTTTTCTCTGCAATAAAGGTCCTGAGGAGGATTCTATAATTTTTGTTAAATACTGAGATATCTCTAAAAACAAATTAGCTAAATCAATTTGTTACCTTTCACCTCTTCGCTTTATGTTTTCGAGGAATATCTCTCAAAAAGAAAGAGATCTAAAAATTTTTGCTTCAACTTTTTTTGTCGCAAAAAGTGAGAGCTACAAAAAAGGTTTTATTAGAAAAATCTCTATCTCTCTTTGATTAAGACATATTCCTCGAGAATATGACTAAAGAACAAGTGGACTTGTTACTGTTCAACCTTTCGTCATAAAATTATCGAGACCAGTATCGAATAATTCTAAAATTGGTGTTTTTATTGAGAATGATAATTGAATTCAGTAATTTCCAATGCAATCCAGAGCTCGAAATAAAATATATGAATTAAATTCAGTAATGAAGTGGTAAAATTAATGCATTGTACGTACTATTTGTATTAATTACCTCTTTATCTCTGAAACTATCGATTTAACGAGAAAACATGAGAGTACTTTTTCTCGAGCTGATAAAATTTTCAATAAAAAAGATCTCTTGATGATTCTCCCTAGAACCAATTGTTTTTTAGATCAATCGATATTTAATGGAATTTTGCAATTCACTACTGAATTTCTAGACACGTAGACGTACGTGATATTAATTAATCTCGGTAATGAGACTGGATTTTTTCATTTTGCAATTGAAAAAGAAAAATACACATCTGTCAATAACTATACATATATACAATCATTTGAAAGTATCATTCGTTAATTTTTTTTCTTTATAATTTTCAACCGTTATTCGAGTGTGATAACGCTATTATTTACATACAAGAATAATTAGAATCTCTCAATTTTAAAATGAAATATAGGTACTCTATTTATTAAAAATAGTTTCGAAGCATTTGAATTAAATCCAAGTACACGTGCTCCCGGCACATCAATTTGACACAATAATTTCTCGATTTTTACGAATAATCTAGCATCAAAGCAGACATCGAAATGAAAAAATTTTTAGGCAATGAAATCCTTGGATTACATTCATGATTGAACGAACATAATGATAAGTATCGATAAGCACATTGATTGTGTTGGATAATTTGTTCATTAAACCTATGAATAGTCGTATTATCCCGTAAATCTCTAGATTAAAAGCGGAAGGATAAATATTAAATACCGCAGCAATAATTCAATAATCATTAAATCAATCCCCTAGAAAATACATGATCAGAGGCTGGAATTGAAGAATATCTATCACATTATTCCAGCATAAACAGCTAAACGAATCATCAGTTATTATCATTAAAAAATAATACGAATTAGATGCTGAAGTCATTACCCAGTGCTCCAGTAATTTCCAAGAAAAATTCCTAGGAAATCACAATGAAAAGGGATGTGACGGTGTCATTTTTTTTTTCTAATTAAAAAAAAATGACTCATTTCAGAAGAACAGCTAGGAGTTTAAACGCATTAATTGTTTAATAACTGGCCTCGTGCCCTGCTAGTATGTACAAATCAGCTCCTTCAGTCTCAGTCAACGTGCCCGAGTGAACTAAATGGCTCTCCAACATAACGACTCTGAAAAAAATTAATTGAATGGAACAAAATTAATATAAAATCAGCTGCAATCGACAGGAGGCTGTCAGATGAATAAAAAATTGAAATATATACTTGTCGGAGCCAAGAAGCCTATATGTTCTACTGGGATCACTAATTTCTTGGGTTATCTCTCCATTTTTGTAGCTTCTGCCCTGCATTCCATATTTATGAAACGCGAGGACACTGTCAGGTAGGCAAACTGCAATTATTATTATTATGTTAATTATCTTGAATCAATCAATCAGTCAAAGAACATAAATTTTCGGACTAACTTATGGATTCAATTTGAAAGTTGAATAATAGTTCTGGTAGCTGTTTTTTACTGGCACGAGGTTTTCCCTGCAGATTAACAAACTTCACGACATCTGAAAAAGAAAACAAGTGGATAATAGCTCTTTCATTACATATTATTTAGTAATTTTTCTTAATAAATTAATAGAATGCTTAAGCTTCAAGCTGTAAATAATTCCAGACAACAAATACTGAAATCCTTACTGTCATGACAAACGAGAATTGAGTCCTTATCAAACTGCGTGACACTGATAACCTGGAGATTCTCTCGTCTAGGAATAACAGTTGCTGAGCCATCGATATCCTCCAATTCATCGCTGTGAAACCAACTGGCACCGGAGTTCATGTTAATCAAATCAAGTTTGAGTCTATTCTGCTGATAGGCCTGTTTAACTGATACACAAACCATTGGATACTCCATTTCCGGTGTTATTACCATCTCGAATACATTGAGGGGTGATGGTAGGGGGCACTCGAAGTGTTTCAGGAGCATAAATTTGTTGAGGGGATCGTACCACTGCATCAGAAATATACCAGCTGGCATTGCTCCGCACAAGTATTTGTAGCCATTGTATGGATTACGACCCACACAGCACTTGCTGCAGCCTTTCGTGTCTGGGACTTTAGTTGTCAGAGCGAATTTACGTGGTACCAGCCTCTCTGGTATTTTGTTCATGTGCAGTGAAAATCTGTGGGACTGTTTACTCTGCATTGCTAGGAGATCGTGTCTGTACAGCTGTGGAGTTTTTCCTGCGGTTAATCCAGAATTTTTTATTATTGCACTAGTACTTTTGGGGCTTTCAGGTTTTTATCTCGAGTCACTGAGAATTTATTCAGGGCTCGGGGGTGAATCTAGGGCCCTGGAGGTTGATGAAGAATTAAAAAAATTGATTTTAGGACGAGTCACGTACCTGATAAAGACATGAGGACATCCTTGATAACGTACATCCATATCGTTCTTCTAGGATACAATTGATCTATCGCTGTTTCGTGAATCTCATTGAGATTCAGATTATAAATTCCCTCCTCAGCTGCAATCAGCAAGTGCTGATCCCTCGTGTCTGGGTGAATCCAGCTGGCTGTGCAGTGTATTCTCAGAGGACACCCATTAAATACCTGAAGACAATTAATTAATAAAAATAATTACACTAATCAATGAATTTTTTCCAATTCTATTTTCATAGGAATATCTCGGTATCTAAAAGCGATGAGTAAATTTTCGTTAGAATCCTTTTCTAGAGGAGCAGATGGTAAGTATTTTATATGTCTCACTTTAGAAAAACAGGCTCCCATGTGGACTTTAGGCGTCGGAGGTAGACCATTGCTCGTAGGCCGTGGAGGTGTGTGTCTCTTTCGATCCCTTCGTCTTGGTGGCACTGGTGGAGTGTCAGATAATAAATCGGGTTCCATACTCTGGTTCTCCCCATCCCCCGACTCTTCCTTCTCACCTGATAACAAAGAAGACACCATTAATTACTCATAATTCAAATAAATCAGTACCAAAAATCTAAAAATCGACTTATTTCCAGTTTTCGAAGAAAATCTCTGAATCCAACCGAGACAGCAGAATTCTCCTCAGAACCTCATCTCTAGAGCAAACCGAGAGCTACGAAAAAGCAATTAACAAAAATTTCACTATCTCTTTCAGATTCCGAGATATTTCTCTAAAACTCCAGTAAAATGTGCAAACTTTAGTTTGCAAAGTCAATTTAGCCAATGGGTTTATCTGAATATCTCTGAATGTGGGGAAAATATCGAAATTTTAGTCAAAAGCTTTTTTGTAGAGCCAAGTGAGAGCTTGAAAAAAGTTATGACCCAAATATTTCCATCTCTTGTAGAATTAGAGATATTTATCGATAACTCAAAGATTTCAGCTTGAAGCTTTTTACTGGGGAAATCGACTGTCTGATAGGCTTCCTAGACCATTAACTGGGTAACTAAACTCCTGGTGAGATGAAATAAATTGTATAAACAGTGAGCATGCAGCAGAAGTCAACGTGCTCCTACCATTGCACCTCGTTGAATCATCCCTAGGGCCACTGTCGGATAACGAACGCTGGCGTTGGCCATTGACAGATGACAGTGACAATGTACCGCTGACAAGTCCGTACAACTCGTCCACAGAGCTGTGACGTCTGGGACTTGCTTGTGACCCTATTACACCCAATCTACCATTTACACTACTCCCACACTTCATTACATTATTCAATAGCAGTAGCCAAGTCGTAAAATTAAATTAATCTACATCTTCGAGAATATCTAGGAAACTAAAAGAGATAGCGAAATTTTTCTCGTAAGTTTTTTGTAGTCCGCAATCAGCTCTGCATAAAACTCTAAATTTTTTACATATTTCCGAAATACCGGGGAAGTAAATCCAATCATCTCCTTTACCACTTGGCTATTAACATCATTTATTACTAAAATTGCGAGTTGTTTTTACAATTGGGTGTTTTTATGTAGATTTTTTGGATTAAATTCTTAAATATAAACGGTACGAATTGTGTCAACCGTCAGAACTGGAAAATCCTTTTTTGTAATTTCAAAGAAAAGTAATTTAAATGTGACTAACGAATAAATCTTTTGTTAAGATTGTAAATAATAATACCAGCAAAAATAATATAAAGCACTTGAGAAATCTCAATCAGTTCTACCCATCAAAAACAATATTGCAAGCGATTGAAAACCTAAATAGCTATCTAATAAAGATTTTGAGGTGAGAATAAAAATAAAACTCACCAGTGAGATTGCCATAGTATCCATGATGGAGTTCACACTCGTTGGAGGTCTCCCCCAGTGGCAAAGTAGCCCTGAAACGACAATTACCCATTAAATAATCTCTCTCCCCCTCACCACACTATAAACAACATAAACATAATATTAATAATCGGCAGTGGGGGTTATAACTCAGCAGGAAGAGCTATCAAACTGAATAAGTTCCATCGACAATTAAATTCGACAAATGATCGAAAAATACAACAAAATAAAAATTAAATGATGAAATGATTGATTGCAACGAGTACTTACTGCAGGGAGTATAGCTGGTCGCAATGTCCATCGATCATCGACATTGCATTTCCCCTGCACACATAAAACTCAAATGACAAACTTCTTAATGAATTTAACATTTAAATTTATCAAGGGTTTATTTGTCATTGTCATCGCCTAGCAGCCGAAATAATTAGCCAATCACTAGTAAATTGATTCATCATAGATATTATCCAGCAGCACAAAATCCGGACACACTTTCAATTAACCCATCACCTCAACGAGTTTGTTTATTTATTAATTAACTAAATTTTTAAATAAATACTAGTTTATTGTCAATAACTCGAGTCAACATGCGCTCAATGCAAGCGAAAACAACAGATATATCAACGGAGTGGCGACAGTTGAGATGTGATTTTATGACTGAATTTATTGTCGTTATCAGGATTTTTTTATTATTTTATGATAATTTATGGATTTGATGAATTAGAAGCCAATGTGCAAGGTGCAAGGGAAAAGGTTACCTGCCAATACCTTAGCAACAACTCCTCATCAATGTACTGCAATAGACTCCTGTTGGGATAAATCACATGAATAGAAATTATCCATTTATCTAAGTGAATTATTGATAACTCAAATTAATGGGAAGATATGAGATTTTAGTTCGGGAAATATCTACGCAAGCCATGACAACAGGATTTTTATTTTCATTTTATCTTCAAGTGGTAAAGTTAACCTGATCATTGATTTATCTCAGAAACTATCGATTTCAACAAAAAACATCAATTATCTTTTTTGTACTTGATTAAATTCCCCACAAAAAATGTTCTCTGCTATTTTCTCCTGAGACGAATAGATTTCGATACAAATCGATATTCAAAAAACGATGAAATATAACCATTTCTAATTTACCATTTTTTGATTGAACAAATTATTGATTTATTTCGAAGACTTTTGCTTGAAAGAGAAAATGTTGAAGGACTTTGTTTTAGCTGATTAAATCCTCTAGAAAAATGTATCTGGATATTTCTGGATAAGATCAATAGTTTTTAAAATGAATCGATATTTATAAAAGATTCACCTTTATCACTTTGCAACTGAAATAATTCTGTCATGCCTGATTTTGAAATTTAATTCGAATCATGCATTTCTGTTACAATTTTCATGAACTAATGGAGAACAAAGAGCATCTGGTTTCAAATTCATTGACAAATTCACACTCACACGAAACAAGGATCACTTCCAAAAAATTCACCACAAATTCTCTACTTCGATTACCTGAGGCTCATATTCAATATTTCGAGGCCTGTTTTGCTTCGGCGGGACATTGCTTTACTAATGGGGCAAATTAGCATTAGTGATTAACCATTACAATATGTTTCACTAATAATAAAAAAATTAATCCGAGAAATAAGAAACGATATGATGCAGCAGAAGCGATCGTGCAGAATGCATCTAAATAGTCAACGAATGAATAATTCTACGACACAGGAACTTCAACAGACTCGTATAGGTGCTAGTCATAATTATCGCCTTTCGTTGGGAGCTCCGTACGTATATTAATTGGAAGAGGAAAAAAAATAGCTCGTATGACTAGCCACATAATTTTGAATGATTACTCGTTAATCTCGATATTGAATAATAATTAGACTTACTTTTCTTGGACGTCATCGAATGCCGTACCAATTCCACAATCGGGATGGACATCACAGTTGTGGACAGTCTAAATAACCGATACAAATGGATAATTGTATTTTTTCTAAATTAGTACAACCACTGCTGCTTATAAATTCTCGATTGATAAAAATACCTTCACGTTGTTCATGATATCCATGATATCCCAGACAGGATTACTTCCATCCGGCTGAGCTGATGGTGTGGAACCTCTGATTGTACCACTCTCCAGGTTTAATTGATCTAGAATCGAGAATTTATGAGATTATAAAAAACGAATGTAAAATTAAAAAAAGGGAATAATTCCCTGGATGATTGATAAAATGCAAGTTAAAAAATCACCATCACTATCTAATTGCGAAGCAAAGTTCTTTGGTGTGGTCCTGGCAGCGGTGTGCCTGGATGCAATTCTTTGTGGTACATTGGGAACAGCTCCATCGTCATCAGCATCGAGCTCAGTGAACATATGACTGGGATTGGAGACCTTCTGGAGTAGTTCAAGAGCGAGTCTCTTGCTCATGTCCTCCTGGAAGAAACCATGCTGCAGCAATTTGGCAGCAGTTGGCCTCTTCTTGGGATTTTTCGTGAGTGCGACTTTCACGAAGTTATGAAATGTTGGACTCCATTTGTCTCGATCCTTGAGTGTCGGTGGTTTGAAGCTGGATTTGGACATTAAAAAGAGTGCCCTCATGGGATGGAGATCAAACATTGGGGGTTGTAACTCGGCAAGTTCGATAGCAGTGATACCACACGCCCAGATGTCACACAGCTGATTGTATCCTCCCTTTCTCTCAACAGCTGCCACCTCAGGTGCCATCCAGTATGGCGTACCTATGAAACTCTTCCTCTTGTTTATCGTCGCTGTTATCTGGGCTGATACACCGAAATCAGCGAGTTTCACGTCTCCAGCCTCTGTCAGCAGAATATTCGCACCTTTTATATCTCGGTGCATCTTTCCCATGTCGTGGAGATAAGCTAGACCTAGGAGGGTCTCTCGACACATGTACGCGATCTGGATTTCACTCAGTGGACCCGTTATGTGGTAAATGTCCTGCAGAGAACCTCCACCGCAGTACTCCATGCAGATCCATAATTTATCTCGTCTCAGATAACTTCCGTAGTATGCTATTATATTTGGGTGCTTGCAGTCCTTCATCATGAGGATCTCCTGCTGGATTATCGCGAAATCATCCCCTGAAAATTGTTTCCAAGTTGAAGGATTGTTTATTAAAGAATGAGAGATTTTAAATGTAAAAATTAAAATCGAATTCGAGGCAAGAGGAGAAAAATCTTCAAAACCTTAAATTTCCTTGAAATTCCCTTCTAAATGTTCGAAAATTTTAAATAATTAAAAACCCGAAACATTCCCTCTAAATTCTCCGAACTTTCAAGAATTTTCATGATATAATTCCCCAAAATTTCGCACACCTGTAGATTTTTTTCGAAAACACAAAAACTGAAACTGAATTTTTTGAACCTGTCACTCGCGGCGTAAAATGAATGAAATGTAGAACGTGTAAAACACCCAGAAAATAAAAAGACAATGTCAAAATAAAGTTGACATGAATGACCCATTGAGAATACCACAGTGAACTCACCAGGTTCTAATTTAATGACTTTAATCGCAGCCAGATCATTCATAGAGAGTCTCTTAGCCTGCAACAAAGAATAAAATATAGCCCCACATTTATCTTCAGGAAGTTCAACCCTAAATAATGTATTAACCTTGTAGACATCCCCATAGGTTCCACTGCCAATTCTCTGAATGAGTTCGTACTCGTCCTGGGGATTTCGTCTGCTTATATCACTGGACAAGACATTCGCGTTCACCGCCATTGTATATCAACATTCGTTGGATTTTTCACTCAATTTGTCTCGATAAACTGGACACAACTGACGAAATTCAATGGCATTCTTTCAATAACTGGAGAAGGTCTGGATGATTTGACATGTCTGGGAGGTCTTGGGAGATCTGCGGGGTACAATTACAAGTACGTAAGTCTGTTGGGGGGATTTTCAGGTGAATTTTTTAGCGGTTTATGTGTCACATTTGGTCGGATGTCGCTATGGGCGCCATTGTCTCGTTTGTGAGAAAGTTGGGTAGAAATTTAGTAACTATTTAGGGCCCCTAGACGTTCGTCATGTTTTCTAGTTTTCAGTGGGAGTTTGAATGTGGAATAATTATTATATTAGCTGCACCTGTTTGTAAATATATTGAGATTTTCGTGGCTATTTTTCTCAGATTATATTCAATAAATTAAACTGCACCTTTTAATATTCAATTTTTGATTTGAATATAATAAAGAATATATGAATATAATATATATTATATACCACAATTATATATCATATAATATTTTTTATTTATTCTCGGAATATGATGGCTCGTAAAAGGTGATGAAAATTAGTTAAATGTTGAAAGTCTATAAATTTTTGTACAATTTTTCGAAAAATTCAAGCTCCAAGGAACAACATTTGGGCTAATAATCCAGTAGAGCTAATTATATCTGATGATTTTTTATTTCTAGGGAGCAGGTTGTTGCAGTTATGATGAAGGATTAGGAGGTGCGACATGTGCCCATATATGAAATAGAAAAAAACATGCGGTTAAAAAAAAAATCGAGCAACAGATAGTTGCAAGAGGAGACAGGGTTGGATACGCACGCATGGACACCGTCCACTCGGTGGGGCACCTTCAGCCCCGTTTTGCCGTTCTTCCGCTTTTATATTCTAAAACCCAAGTTTTACTCCACAACACAATGCTATTCAGTCTCTCATCAACTTTACCCCGTCGCACACTCCATCATTAACGCCCAATATTTCCAATTCAATTCTTCAATAATTTATTAATTCCAATAATTCGATAAGCAATTCAATATTTCAATAATTCAATAATTTCATGCTGGTGTTGTAATCATTTATTAATTATTTATCAATATTTATTATCAATCGAAGGGACTGGAGAATTATTTTATTTATTGTGAATATTACGTGTAATTTCATCAGCTAAATTATTTATTAACTTCGTTATATTAATCTCATCAGTTTTTTATTGCAATAATATGTATCACGGAAGAAATATTTTGAATTAAACCAGTTTTATTTTCATTTTCTTATTTTGGTATTTTTTAGTTTTTATTTTGGTTTAGTTGATTTAAAAGTAAATGAAGAGAAATTGGAAACGGGAGATATTTTTTATTGTGAAGAAAAATATCATTTCATCTTTCACATTTTCGATGAATTCAAAAATCGGATGATTTATCAAAGCATTCAATAATTAATTATTGAATAAATCCTCGGAATATCCCCATCCCCCAAAACGGATATAATTAATCCCCATTTGCTGAATCAATGAATAACAATTCCCAAAAACATTTGAAATAAATAAATAAAACAGTGTAAAGTTGTGAAAATGAACAAACAATTGTGTAAAATGCAAAAACGAATTTTCCTGTCACGAATTCCATGAGATTATCCAAGAGAATAATCATAATTATCTCCTGATAATAAATAAACGAATAATTATTAAACAATTGACCAAGTGAGAGAAGATCGATTGAATGTCGTGGAGTTGTTAAAAAATGATTTGGGGTGTGAAATTGGTGATTTTCGTGTTATCAGTGGTGATAGCCGTTGGTCAGTGTGAGCAGAGGTTCCTGGAGACTCCAGTGGGGTATCAGGAGGTATCCTCCGGTGAGGACGTGATCCTGAGCTGTCGAGTGGAGAACAAAAGGGGCCAGTGCATCTGGCAGAAAGATGGAAAACCCATCGGCATTCACCCAGACAAATACGAATGGGCAACAATAAGAAGTAATAGCGTGAGTGATGCTGATTGCAGTCTCCTCATCAAAAGGGCATCCCTCGACTTCGATGATGGCTACTGGGAGTGTCAAGTCTCTCCTGGGGATTTCACCCGACAGGATGCCCTCACTTCTCTTCCATCCCGGCTCCTGGTCAGAGTTAAACCTAGAAAACCAAGACTAGAACACGGAGGTGCAATCCTTATGGAATCTCTTACTCTCAAGGAAGCACAGGAGGTCACCATTTCCTGTGTCTCTCGTTATGGAAATCCACCAGCGATTATCAAATGGTTTGACTCAACGATTCTACAATTTAATATCAACATCCACTCACCTTAATCCAGATTTACCAATTTATTCATCATTAATAATTAATTTAATCCATTCATAATTATTTATTAATCTACAAAGAAATAAGTATTTTTGAAAGAAACAGTAAAAGGAATTGAATCGGTTTTTTAAATGGAAAAATCTCGTTAGAATAATGTTTGAATTAGCATTTTTGAATTGTACATCGATTGCAGTAATATTTGACAATTGATAACCCCCGAGGCCACCCTAAAATTCACGACAGCGTAACATCCCCTTTCCACCCCACACAATCTTCATCGTGAAACTGTCGAAAAGGATGGTCTTCCGTTTTATGGTCTAGTGCAGCTGGCCACTCCTTATTCAACCTTCATTCCCCTCTTTGAATCTAAAAACAATGTAACAATCATAATCACCCTTCCCCCATGTCCCATATTTCTGTGTCGCCGCGTGTTGAGGTCTTTTTTTATTATCCAGGTTCATCGGGGGTGACGAGGTGGAACCACTGAGGGAGCAGACAAATGCTACAGAAGTGGACAGTCCGAAGACCTGGGCAGCCCATAGCCTCCTGAGGATTCGGGGCCAGAGGGAAAATCATGGAATGCCCATCAGATGTCTCAGCTTGCATTCATCGGGTCCACTGCCTGCTATCGCCGAATCCAGACTCGATATTCATTGTAAAATATCTTTTCCCTTATTTCTTCCTTCAAATTCAAATAGTTCAAATAAGACTATCCATCACCGCTAGCTAATTGATTATTGATAATATAATTGCTGTGTGTTAATGATGAATTGATAGAAATTATTGGAATTGATGAAAATTTTAGATTCCCCAGAGGTTCGCATTGAGACGAGTCCACGAGTTTTGTCATCGTCCCTGGAGGATTCCTCGAGTTTCATGAGCATCAAGTGTCTCGCTGACGCAAATCCACCAGCAACAGTCAGGTGGTACAAGGATATGGCGAATTTATCAAAAAGCAACATCGTAGAGCCCATTACAAATAACTCAACTCTGAGCCCAGGGGCAAATGCTAGCCTGAGTGGCTCCGAAGTGAGATTTGAACCTGTGAAAAGGGAGGACGCAGGTTTATACTCGTGCAGGGCATTCAACAATATTGGAGAAAGCTCTCCAGCAAACTACAGACTCGATGTTCAATGTAACGTATTGAGGGCTCACATTGTTTTTACTATTTTCTCTTTTCCATAATTGTCGTTATTTTTCCGTTCGGTGGCTGTTAAGGATAGACAAGTGGGAAAGTCTCAGAGTCAACGATTTCATTAAAATTATAATATAACGGAGCTGTTACACGATTACTTTTCATTTACTCAATAATAATAATAGAGATGATAGAAAATCTAGAAATTGTGAAAAAAAGAGAAGTGCAACGATTTTATTTAGTCAGTACGCGAGTTTTTGGGAGATATCTCGGATTCTGAGAGAGATATCGAAATTTTTATTTCGATCTTTTTTGGAGTTCTTCTTCCAGTCTTTAAAAAATGTATTGGGAGAAATTTCTGTATCTGCTACCGATTTCGAGATATTCCGCTGAAACTTTTTTAATCCTAGTAGTAAATTTATCATAAATTAATAATTGCCTCAATTTTTCAATTGCAGACAGCCCGAGACTGAAAATAAATGGGAAATTAAATGAAACTCGAAGTGAAGTCGAGGCAATAGCACTTTTGGCATCGGAAGTGGAGGCTTTCGAGTGTGACGAATTCGAAGCAAATCCTCCAGCACGTTACAGGTGGTTGCACGTGAGGGGAAGTCTTTCAGGGCCCGTCGATAATGGAATCGATCATAAATCGGGGACAAATGATGGGCGAGTCCTGAGGATGAGGAACGTCGTGTGGTCAGACGAGGGGGAGTACCGGTGTGTTGCCTTCAACCTCATCAACGGGGTGCGAAGGGAAATGACGTCTGAGACACGATTCCTCCTGCACATTTCTGGTCCTCCTGAGATCCAGACTACAGACTCCGATAAAATCACGGAGAAGGGGATGTTCGAGTCCCTAGGATGGGCTGGAGAGTCCTCTCATCGGCTCGTGGTACGATTTTGCTCCAGACCTCCACCAAAACTCGTTGCCTGGCAATGGGGCAGCTCCCACATACGCGCAGGTACTCATCATTTCAATTATTTTTTAATAAATATTCATTTAAATAATGAGAATAACAATTGAATTTAATTTAATCATTTTTGAACAATTACAATAATAAATAGACAGATAGATTTGAATGATATAAATTTAATGTTCAGGTGAAATAATCGAGCCAAAGTACGAGGCTCTGCCCTTGGAGCCAATTCTGGAGAATTCCGAGGTGACAAATTGCTACTGGGCTAAACTGGAGATAAGAGATCTCCAGAAAGAGGATTCCAGGGTGTACACTCTTCTAGTGGAGAGTGAAAAGGGGAGAGACTCTATAAGTCTAGGACTGACAGTGCGAGATCCCACGGAAATAAAAATAATAGCTATTGCGTCTGGAGTTGGACTTCTCCTGGTCATTGCGATAATTGCTCTGGTGATTTATCTGTTCCTGAGGGCCCGGCATCGGCGTTACTGTAAAGATCAGGAAGATGATGACGAAGAGGAAGGAAGCATCGCTGCTGATGCTTTCTATGTAACTCCCAACTCCATGAGTCGGTCCCAGAAGAGTCAGGTCTATTCCAGGAAGCATTCGGATGGGGGATTAGCTGTTATGTACGATTATAATCAGATTGTCAAGCAGACGGGGACGATAAGCCCTGAGGCCCTCAAGGTCAGGAGGGCACCTGTCGTCCTTCAAGCTCCCACTATTGTCTGAAGAATCAGAAAAAATATGGAAAAAATATTATTATTATTCAATGACTCCTTTGACGGAAAAGTGACTGAATTTTTTATTTTTTAATTATATTATATAATTATTGTAAACATTGGAAACAATCGGTAGAATTTTTGAATAGAACTCTAAGAGAACATCAATTGTTACAATAGAAAGAAATTCAATTTCTCAAAGACAATGAAAGGGTTCTATTCATTATTTTTATTTTGGAGCTCAGGTGGATTTACTTGAACTTTTTACACGAATGAGGAATTCATTGTTTGTGTTTTGTTTATAATTATTTATTACAATTGACAGAATCATGCTGGAGAGAGTGAGAGTGAACGAGCGTATTCATATATAAAATTCATGGTTGATCTATTTATATTGATTACCAGTTATAATTCCATTATTATTCATCATCGAATGGTTGTAGTTAATAAAATATGAATTAATGAAAATTAATAAAATAATTATAGTTGTAGCCAAAGAGGATTGCCTAAAGTAGAGGGTCAGCTTTGAGGGTTTGAGTGACCCCAGCGGCATCGTAGTACTGCACCCCAAGAGAGGGAGGGCGCCACACGCAATACGGGGGTGTTTTTTTTTTATTAACCAAGTTTTTATTGCAATGCTGGGGTGTCCATCAAGTCGACGGAGTGAATTTTATTTTCTGCGGTATGACTGCTTTTTGTTTTTTAATTGTTTAACTGAAAATTAGCCGACTGTAGAACGAGTGGAAGAGGGAAACCACATTTTGTGGAATTTCAAATGAAAAAAATTATTCAATATATTGAAGATATACTACTAACGAAATTACAATTTTATAATGAGCGCGTTGTCTCGTGGGCAACGTGCTTGGCTGGCACACCCGCGACTAGGGTTCGATCCCGCAAGCTTTCATTTTTTTTTCAAAATAATTTCAATTTTTTTTTTTGTAAATGGCTAATCAATGAAAATATCGTTTAAAAACTGAATACTTGGGAATTGAAAAGATATCCAGTGAAATTGAAAAATTCGAAATTTTTGAAAAAGTATCAGGGGAACATGATCATCGAGGAGCTACTCACTGAAATTTTCACTGAAAGTGAAAAATTCGAAATTTTTGAAAAAGTATCAGGGAAACATGACAATCGAGGAGCTATTCACTGAAATTTTCAC